TCCCCCCAGCACCGGCAGCTCCTGCTGGAGCTCTTCTCCAAGAACTTCCGCGTGCGGAGGAACGCCATCCAGACGCGGCTGGCCCAGGAGCTCGGGGACGGCGTCACCAAGGCGGACATCGACAGGCTGCTCAAGGTGACCTCCGGCTTTCAAACCCCTCCCCATCTCCCCCCCCCCGAGGGGCAGCTCCAGCCCACGCTGCGCGCCTGCTTGTGGTAAAAAGTGCACGTGCACATAGGGAAAACCTGAATCCACACGCCTTCCTTTTGGATCGACTTGGGGAAATCTACGTAAAAGAGTTGGGTTTAACAAAACAGTGCATTGTTCTGATGCCTGCTGCTGCTGTGTCATCAGAGGGTGGAAAATTTCCCTACGCAGATACTAGCACACTGGACAAACCTGCGCTCTCGTCTCGCGATGCCAGCGGCCTCTGTCCTTTCCTGTGTGGGGAAACAGGACAACGGGGTGTTTTGCAGGACCTGGGACTTTCACATTCAGTTGTGCACGATGAGCCCCTTCAGTCACAACAAATATTTGAAGCCCTGGAGCTCCTCCTCCAGCTCGGTCATCGCTGTGCTTGGAGCTGCCCCGGACATGCCAGACCGGGTAAGCGGGGCTGCAGACTGACGGCTGTGTGTTGTGTTGTGTCCTTGCAGGAGTGCTGCATGAGCCACGGAGGGATGTGGTACCTAAAGGGCACAGTGCCGTCCTGACAGCAGAGCCCAGAGGGGTGGGGGGGAGGGTCCATCGGCCAATCGCCTTCTGCGCAGCTTGGTGGGAGGATCTCACTGGGACACACGGACCAATCGCTGCCCTTCGACCCACAGCCTGCAGGGCGGGAGCTGGGGGAGCCTTGTGCCGGTCATCCGCTCAGATCATTTCCATTGTTGACGTGTTGAGTTCCTGGTGCGGACGTGTACCGCGCAAAGCAAGACCGCCGAGGCCCGAGGCGGGCCTTCGCCGTTGAGGGCGGTGGGCGTCGTTAGCGAAGAGCGACGGGCGTTTGTAACTGCGGCGGTATCAACGGTTTATAACGGGTTTTTTTGTTTTGGAGGAGGGCAGGGGAAGGTTTTTGTTTTGCGCTATAACATTTGACTTTTTCTAGATTTTTTTTTTTCTAAATGAAAGAAGTGAATAAAGTAGAGCCCATGAAAGAGAAGCCATGCGTAGACTACCTGGGGTAGGGCCTTCAGGGAGACTCGGAGAGGCCAGAGTTGGGGTGATAGTGTGTTACAGGAACGTCGTCCAAGTAGTGATCTGGGGTTTTGCGATGAGCCAGCTGGTTTGTACTTCAGCTGTTAATTATTGCTAATTTTGAACTGAAAGTGAGAAAAGTTGGTCTTCCTTTTGAGAACGTTATGCATCTCCTTAGCTGTGAGCTCACATGGGCTGGATTTTGGTTTCGCCAGAGAGTACTGTAAGTCAGCCTGTCAGCTAACTGCGGATCATTATTGCTCATTGGTTAATCACATCTCCCTACAGGCTGGAAATGCCAAAACAAAATCCAATGTTTAAAAAAAATAAATAATTCAACCACTCGGAGGACTACCGCAAAACTTGGAAAGATATAGGGGGATTTTATTTTATTTTTTGTTTTAGTAGTATTTATATAATCGCATCCCCCTCTTGTAGAAATTTGAGATTTATGTTTAAAGCGAGGTTCTTAAAAGCTGCTATCGTAGGAGCTGAGCTGTTCATGGCCTGAACAGGTGGCCGGACTCCGCACTCGGTCCATTCGGGCTGAGGTTACAGTCGCGGCCTGGAGGTGGCGCTGTGGAGCAGGAGAGCCGAATATGGTTTCCGCTTGTCCCTGGGGACAGCGTTGTGCCAGCCTGGCCCTTTCCACTGAAATGAAATCCGTTGTTGAGAGGCAGGAGCCACACTCCCGGGACAAGAGACCAGAGGGC